TCATCATGTGGTTATAATGAAGAATAAATTATACCACATAACAAATAGCTCATGTAAATCGCTTAGAATGACAAAGAGAGATTTATATGAGTGGAATAATTACATTAACCAACTCTACAAACAACACCCTAACAAGAAAAGAATCCTTGGACAAAGCTTTTTATTTAGTTATGAATAAATCGATTTTAAGGCACTCATATCATTATCATTTTAACTTTTTTTCAATTAATTAGGGTCGGTTATATGAATCATGGTTTTCCATTCTGCTCTATTAAAGGCCAATTCATACACATTCTACCTTCTTAAATTACTTCAAATATTTAAGCCAATTCATACACTCTCGTTATATCCAAAACAAGTGTCAATTTTAACAGATTTCATATCACATTGGATTTCATAATGTATAGTCCAGCAAACCATTTTGAAGTCTTATCTGATTCTAACAGAGATCCACAAAAATATTTGTTTAATTACTGTTTACAATGCAAATCAAGACGATCTCAAGATGAAATTGGACTAGATCCGAACCACAAACTGATTTTTTAAAAAGAGTGATAGAGAGTGTGGATAATCAAATTCTGATATGACGTCAGATCTACTCATAAGTGAGGATATCTGCTCTCAGATAAGTGGTAGAGTCAGTATGGATCTGAAATACGAAATACGAAATACAACATAAAATGAAATAAATTTGATTTAATTCTAATAAAAATAAATAAATAAAAGAAAAGAAATGCAGAAAGAGTAAGAAAATATCAGACCGGGCCAGTTGGCACGAGACTCCTGAGGTTTCGAGGTCTCGCATGTATCAGGACCAGTTGAGTTTATGCCATGCATCATCTTTCTCTCTCTTCAGGTTTTGACCACACATGGGATTGGTTGGATGACTTTTTTAATTTAAAGGCAACGGCCTAAAACTTAAGTTTTCCTAAATCTAGGGTTTGCTCACAAGTTGTCTCTCTGGGCTCTCTCTACCTCTCATATTTCCTGGCCTACGGGTTAACAAAGTTCAACTCTAAATAATTCAAATGTACTTATATAAAGGCTCAAATCGTACCAGAGTGAATATATATCAATTTCAAGCAGATTTGCCACCCAAATTTCTATTTTGAGGGTCAAAGGGAGCCCAAATCTGACCAAGATTAGCAGTTTTAGATTTTGGGGTGATTCGTTCATTTTTGTGATATTGTCTACCAAAAAACAAGTAAAATAAGATATTTTATTATTTTAACTTGATTTATTAATAAAACAATGGTCATGCAGGATTCTGGATCACAGGATAGAGATAATGGACTATGATGGTCTATGGTCCGGGGGTTTACTGAGATAGTGTGATCTTAAGGCGGTCTATGGTTTAGAAAACCAATAAATTTGTCAGTTCTCAAAATGCAGTGGCTACAATTACTTTCATCTCGCACAACAAGATGATCTAAAGAACACGTCATCGTCATCATTTGAGCCATATCCAAACTATTTGGGGTTGCTATCTAAAGGAATATGTCATCATCATTTTAACATTTTCTCAATTAATTGGGGTCTGCTATATGAATCCTAGTTATCCATTCTTATCTATTAAATGTCATATCCTCAGTGAGACTATAGTCCCCATATCTTTTCGGACTACTTCCAGCCACATCATTTTGCGCCTATCCCTTACCTTTTTCAACCCTTCCACTTGAACTAACGTGCACCTTCTAACAGATGTTGTACTTGGTCGGTGCCACACATGGCAGCCTACTTAAGTCTACTTTTTCTCATTTTACTTATTGGTGTCACGCCTAAGTTCCATCAAATATATTCATTTTGAATTCTATCCCTTCTTGTCTTGCCACTCATCCATCTCAACATCCTCATCTCTGCCACACTCATTCTGTAGGTATATTGTTTTTTGTCCGCCCAATATTCTGCCCCATAGAGCAAAGTTGGTCTAACTGTTGTTTTATAGAACTTGCCCTTCAGACTCATTGGTATGTGGGGATCACATAAAATTCCAGTGCACATCTCCACTTCGCCCACCCATCTCTATTTTTGTGTGCGACATCTTCCTCAATCTCTTCATTTTTCTAGATTATCGACCCAAGATATCGAAAGTGCAGTATTTTTTGTACTTCCTGACCGTCAATCTTAACCACTTCATCGTCTGTGCTCCTATTATTACTAAACTTGCACTCGATATACTCTGTCTTCGTCCGAATAATTTTAAAATCTTTAGATTCTAGAGCATCACTCCAAAGTTCTAATTTTGTATTGACATCGTTTTGGGTCTCATCAATCAAAACTATATCATCTGCAAACAACATGCACCATAGTATTTCATTATGTAGGTGCCTAGTTAAGTAGTCCACAACTAAGACAAGAGGTATGTGCTCAATGCTGACCCTTGATGTAGACCTATTATCACTAAAAAATCACTCATCTGTCCACTAGTTGTTTGTACACTAGTTAGTTTTTCATCGTATGTATCTCTTACCAAGTCGATATAATGTCTTTAAACGTCTTTCTTTTTCAACACCCACAAAATCAAATCTCGAGGTATTCTATTATAAGCTTTCTCTAGATCAATAAATACCATATAGAGGTCTTTTCCCTTGGCCCTCAACTTCTCAATCAGTTGCACAAGTAGAAAAATAGCCTCAGATATTGATCTTCTTGGAATAAAACCAAATTGATTTTCATATATACGCTTTTCATGCCTTAGTCGTTGCTCAATGACTTTCTCCCAGAGCTTCATAGTATGACTCATTAGCTTGATCCCTCGATAGTTTGCACAGTTTTGTATGTCTCATTTGTTCATGTAGATAGGTACCACAATATTTTTCTTCCATTCGTCTGCCATTTTCTTTGTTTTCAACACCTTGTTAAACAGTTTCGTTAGCCAGTGAATGCCAATTTCCCCATGCACTTTCAAAGCTCTATCGAGATACCATCTGGTACTAAAGTC